ACATACTGTGCTTACCATTTTACACTAAATGAAGCTTCTAAAAAGAGTCTAGCTAACTGGCTGTTCCTAACTTTAATAGATTTTGTATCGTTGACTACTAACAAGCATGCAAGTAAGTAAATCAGAACGGCTGTTGTACATTCCTGTTCAGAATCAGTTGCTCTGCCTGCACTGCCTGCCTCACCTGCAGCATTAAGTTCACTAGGGTTCTTCTGGCACACCAGATTCATGGAACGTGCAAATTTTCCCAAAGCCTCATAAGCTGCCTTACGAACACTGGAATGAGGAGACTATGGACAAAGAATCACAGATTCACATTAATTTCAAAACAGAGCTATTACATTTTTTTGAATTATTATTAATTCTTGAGGCAGAGAACAAAATGTGAGCATAAAATGAACTGAAAATGTATTTAAAGTAACCATACTATAGAAGTACAAGTACTGTTTGTTACCTGCAAGTACCTGTGTTAGTAATTAATTCTTGAGCGCTTGTGCAAACCTTTGGATCCAAGGCCCATGCTGTAGATGGGGACTCAACATTTCTGTAATGGAGTCTCTTTCATTTAACTGAATGGGGCTGGGGAAGGGTGGCATGAGCCAGGCAAACATTAAGGCCCTATGTACAGCCTGGGCCTATGGTGGCTAAATAGCTGAACAGGCACACACAAATCAGTTTCAAGACTAGCACAAATACGTAAGGACACCACATGGTGCCTCCACTTTAGCACTGTTATTACCTCGGAACATTTTAGGTAAGGTCAGCTTCACAAAACAGTGATGTGCAGTTACAGATGGCAAACAGATTTCACCATTCTGGGCCAGTCCAGTCTGATTTCCCTGAATACTCTACAGCAGTTAGACAAGTTGGACAAGATCCTGCTAATGATAATGCTAGTCGAAGTGGTGGTGGGGGGGGAGGATTTGCAGTTGCTGAAATTTTCTGAGCTTTGGAAAGCAGAACTAAATAGAACGTGAAAGTAATTCCTGGTATTGCTTTTTCCTCCTTGGCACTGGCAGCCAGTACAAAGTGTATGCATTTCCACCTCATGGCACTGGCAGACTATACAAAGTGTATGCATTTCCAACTCATGGCACTGGCAGCCAGTACAAAGTGTATGCATTCCTGATTGCCCGGGAAGCCGGCTCCATGCCGGCCGAAGTACCGGTATCGGCGAGTCCTGAAGCAAAACATCGGTACTCGATACCGAAAAATGGGTATCAGTGCATCCACTGCAAAACATTATATATTGCAGCCAACCAGTCATTTGGTGTGGTGGCTGTGTTAGCATACTTTTTCAGGCTTCTTTACCTTTACATGATAATCCTGCCTTTAACACACTTCCTTCCCTAGGGGGACAATTCTCACTCACCACACTATCTTTGGAGAAGTAGTGTTGTCATTCTAGGACAGGACTACAGTACACTCCCCTCCTCTAACATAGCTGAGAGGGGTTGTGTAGTCCATAGAGAGAGATGGGATCAATGATAACTGCTAACACATGCAGACAGCACAGGAAGTGATCAGCTAACAAGATTTCTGGCAGGATCAACACATTCTTATGGAACTGAAATAACAATGGTATCAAACCAAAATGGGAGCAAATAAGAGAAGTTTACTGTTATGGATTAGTTTTCAATGCTGCTAAAAGGGAATAACACTATAACAGGGTGCATGTAAACCCTACAATTGTAATCAAAATTATTCATACCCCATTGCACAACAGGTTTATTGGCAACAGTTACAAACGTTCAGTTGTCTGCAATGAATGAATGAATTTTGGTTTCCCCAAATTCAACCAAAAATTTAACTTTCAATGATTTAGGCAGTCTTAAAATTAATCAACCCCCATGAATACTGTAGAATAGGGTAAATTAAATACCATCCCTAATTTAAAATAAAATACACAAATGCAGTGTTACAAAAGTTTACTTCAGAATAAAACTGCATGCACAATTTTTTGCAATCGTCTGCACTGGAACGCACAGCATTGAGGTACTGTACGTTCCAGTGCAGGCAATTACACTGTGGGTGGGAGGCACGTTTGGGGTGCCATTGAAATGAATGGCACTGCAGGGCACCTCCCGCAGCAGAATTTGTCAGGCAGAAACTGAATAACTTTTTTCCCACCTTCTATAATTTTTTTTTTCTTAAAAATTGTATTGTAAGCACATGGCGCTTCGATAGCTTCAGCCAGGGAATGACTGCTTCCAGTGGCATGATTCCGCAGATGGCAGCTGAATGTAAATACAGCAGATAGTGGGCTGGTGCAATAGCCATCCTGCTATTGCACCCGCCCACTGCTTGCTGTGCCCTCCTCCCAGCGTGGAGGAGAAAGCTAGGGGATCCAACCAACTAATTAATGATCATTATCGAGGAATATCGATTAATTGGTTGCAGCCCTAGCAGAATCTATAAGAAGAAGAGCACAAATCTGAGATTTATGAGAAGATTGAGAAAAACCCTTGAGTGACTGCAAAAGACCTGCAGCAAGACTTCGTGGCAACAGGCACTGAGGTTTCAGCTTGTATAGGATGGCGCGTACTAAACGCAGAAGGTTTCCATGCCAGAACTCCAAGACATACAAAACTACTGACTGCAAAGCCACGAGAAAAGTCGGCTCCAATATGCTCAAAATCATATAAATAAGCCACAGAAGTTTTGGAATTCTGTTCTGTGGAGCTATGAAACAAAACTAGAACTTTTTGGGATCTATGGATCAGCAGTATGTCTGGAGGAAGAAGAATGAAGTTAAGCATAGTGGTGGCTCGATGATACTCTGGGGCGGCTTGGCATCCTCTGGCACTGGAAACCTGCAACGTGTGGAAGGCAAGATGGATTCACTGAAGTACCTGGAAATCCTAGGAGAAACCGTCATGCCATCTGGGAGGAAGCTGAAAACTTGGGCATCATTGGACCATACAACAGGACAATGATCCCAAGCATATATCAAATTCAACCAAGGCTTGGTTGCAGAAATCCTGGAAGATTTTACAGTGGCCGCCAGAGTCATCAACTTGAACCCCCATAGAAAATGTCTGATAGGATCTGAAGAAAGCAGTTGCAGCACGCAAGCCCAAGAATATCAGTGAAGTGGAGGCCCTTGAAGATTTCTTAGGAACGCTGCCAGAAACTGGTGTCTAGCTATGCATCTCATTTGCACCATGTCATAACAGCAAAAGGGTGCTCTACTAAGTACTAAAGATGCTTGCCATGAAAGTGTTGAATAATTTTGAGACTACAGAAGTCATTAAGGCTGGGTTCACACCTAGGCCGTATCGAATATGTGCGATTGCCACGTGTTTTTACCGCGATTTGCAGTAAAACAAACGCGCGTTTCCGAGGGCTACCTGGCTGTATCCCAATGGATACGCGCGACAAAAATGCCCCAAAGAAGCTCCTGTACTTCTTTGGGCGTATGGCGTTTTGTAGCGCGTTCATACGGCCTGTAATAAGCCCAGGTGTGAACCATACCCATAGCAAATAATGGGATTTCGGTGTTTGAGCGTTTTGCAGAGCGTAGGAACGCGCTACAAAAAGGCCCAGATGTGAACCGGGCCTAAAAGTTGCATTTTTACTTATTTTGGGGAAACCACTTGAAAAACAGTTGTTTTGACCTATTTCAATTGCTTTTGTTCATAGCAAACAACTGAAAGTTTGTAAATGTTGCCAACAAACCTGATATGCAACAGGGGTTGAATATTTTTGATTACAACTATATCTACCCTCACCTCCTTAAGCAACACACAGACTGGAAGTGTCCACTAATTTAACAATAAAGCTGCTGTGCTGGGTCGTATTACCTCCATACTTTCTTTACAGGACAGCGGCTTATATTCCCTCACCTCTGTGATACAACTGCCAGAGCCCAGAATTGGAAGTGGACACCTACCCTTAATAAGTAAGCTCTTAGATCCATATATTATCAGACTTGTCATTTCTTTCATATTACAGCTGCAAGATACTTTCATAATACAGTTATGATTGCCAAACCTCTACCCCTTTGTCCTATGGATTGCTGGACTCCTCCCGAACACTGAACAAATAATTGGATGGCCCCATTGTAGATTTTACAGAACCATGGTAAGTTTAAGTTGCTACTGTAGTCAACTAAAAGAAACATACTTTATGTGCATTCTAAAACGAGGAATACAATCCTCCCCAGAAGCAGTGGATGAGAAGTATGTAGAGATAAAATTCGAAGGCACCACTAAGGCATATAGCAAACAAATTGTTTTCTATGTGGCCTGTTCATACCCCAACACCGGGTGTGATGCTGCATTTTGTTTGCAGGACATTGGACCACACCACAGGTCACTAAACTGTTGTGCAAGGATCTGAATAGTGTACAGTCTACATAAAGTTAAAAAAAAAAAAAAAAAAAAAAAAACAGTGACAGCTCTGGCAGCAATAGCCATCACAACACTGCTAAGGTAAAATCCATTCCTTACCTCTATATGCTTAAATACTTCCTGGAAGCATGAGTCAAGATAAGGGAAAAATGAAGAGCTGAAGGAAAATTGGAAGCAAAATGGTGAAAAAAAAAATGAATAAAAATAAGCCACAAACAGTGTTTGAGGAACATTGTCCAGGGAAATGAGAATGTAGAAAATGAAAAGTAATTAAAGTAATAACAATAACAGTAGGAGAGAGAAAATGTTTGACAAATAAATAAAAGTGATGTGGAAGGAAAATAGAAAACACTTATTACCACAGCTTGTTTTAAGGGAGTTAGAGAGATAGCTTACATGATTGGACTAAGACAGGGAATGCAATATATAAATGTATACACCAACAAAACAAAAAAAGTACCTGGCATTTAGTGCAATCACACCAAGAGAGCTGCATGCTTCTTCCTTTTCATCCACATAAGCATTCTCTACACTGAACCTGTAAAAGCACAAATAACCGATTTCATGTTAAGGAAAAGGAGTTTTAAAGCATTTTAAGCATTGTTTTTTCATCAGCATTCATCCAGAGTACTGGAGCAACTCTGGAGAGGATAGTTGATACAATATATCTTTGAGCAGTGATAATACAGTATATAGCAATTCGTAATGCAGCACAATCGAGACGTAAAAGGTGGTAAAAGGAGAAGATCCTAGGAAGCTGGTATTGGAGTTACTAGAAATTGCACATTTGTTCTTTTATTTGGAACCCTGGAATATTCCAAATAGAATGGGTGGGCAAGTTCCTCTATTCCTTTTCCAATCCAGGTATTCACACCTGGCTATTTTTAACAGCAGCCAGATGTCAGGGGATCTACAGACTATAATTTATGAAAACCTGTAAAGTACAGCTACTTTAGACTAGGTGTTAGGGTTAAGAAACAGTGCAAAGTTACAATGAGAAGCCATTGGTTAAGCCCACTGAGATACATGAATTATTGAGAGGGATGACATCAGCTATAGACCACTAAATGAGAAGATTATTTTTCTTGTTTTTGTTACATGGAACTACTGCTATGCTCTTCACTGTTCCTTAAACAGGAAGAAAAATAAGCTATAGTGTTCACATGTTTGTGAACTGTGATGAAAGAGTTTGCTTTCGGCTTAGTGACAAGGTCCTGCTCTCAAAGTCTTCAACAAATAAAACAATAAAGAGTACAAGGTAGTTATGGAAAATCCACAATGTTAAAAGCAAACCTTTCATAGTGCTAAAACTCTGAAGGTATATTATCAAAAGCCACCTGCATATGTTGTCGTCCCCAATCCAACCCCCCAGGAGCACCTATCTACGCATGTCAGTTACTGAATAGCAACTTTCAGCTCCAGTATGGAACACAGGTAGCCCTCCCCCCGCATCCTAATCTGCACCTTTCTATTGGAGGATACAAGGAAGGGGCTGGGGTACCAGAACTTTGCAGCAGAACTAAACATCAGGTATTCGCAAATTGAAGGGACCGTGAAAGTGGTCGGCAGGAGATTTGGCATGGGAGTCTAAGTGTGACCACCGACTTTTAAACAGGTTATGTTGCATGCACAATTATTTTAATAGCATCTTTACTTAAAGCACACCTGTACTTAGCCCGTTGAAGAGCCAAGCAACAGATTTGCTTTATTTCCTCCTCCCCAAATGCACATATGTGTCTTTCCTTTGCTTCCCTTGTTTCGATCCAGCTGCTAGAAGCCAAGAAAGACAGCTCTATATAAGCTCTAAGTTGCTATAGTTGACGATCATAAAGAGCTGAGGATTCCTCACACCTTCATATAACAGCACAGGACCAAGGCTCATCACTATCCCATTGGAGTGAATCACAGGTTCCTCCACACCTGGAATTACTGGGTATTGTCTTCATCCCCAGTGGCTGAACTGTGCAACATGGAAGCATAGAAAGGGGAGGTATATGTTAATAGAGAGGGTGACAGTGCACTTGTAGTTATCCACTGCCTTTCCAATAAACTAGACGGAAAGTGTATTTATTTTTTTGAGTATTCCAACAAAACATCAATCTCATAAATCAGTCCGTAAAAGAATGCCCGGGCTTTATTTGGCAGTATAATAAATGAAACCTACAAAGTATAATGCAGGTACACACCACTATACTGTGGTGGTAAGGCACATTACACGTGTTGGTGCACTGGGGTGCCATTCATTGCGAGTGACACTCCAATGCACCTGGCTTGCAGCACACCAAAACATGCACTGACACACCATCATACATTGCAATGCATTGTCATACATAAAGTGCAGCCTGCACTATTTTTCATCTGTTGTGGTGCAACGCAAATATAAAGGCTGCCTTAACACAACGCAAGTTAACGTAGGGTAGGACATAAGGTGCGGGTGCTAAGCGCACTACAACTGATCAGCATGATGTAAACAGCCCCTAAAGAGTTAAAAAATAAGGCATTTCCCTCAGAAATGCACCTTGTGCTTGGATTTAACTGACAGGAAATTTCACAGTATGTCACAAACCTGATTCTACTTTTCTGTAACAAACTAAAATGGCAATAAAAGGATCATAATGGCAGCAGGTACTATGAGACCCTGGTGCATATATAAACCACTTATCAAGAGCTGCAGAAGACCAAAATTATATTAGCCCTGGACTTCAGACTCAGCAAAAGGAAGACTGAAGGGGGTAGAATCACACAGGCTACACAGTCCAAAGGTCATCCCTTCTTCCTCTATCACAGGTAATTTAAGCCTAAAAGCAATGCTTTTATAAAGGGCACTAAATCACTTACAAATGATAGAATGCACTTATTTTTAATCTTCTTGGCCAGAGAGACTACAAGTGAGATAAGGCAGCAATGACATACAACCAATGTACTACAGTTCGTGTGCCTGTTCAGATATATTTCAAGAGAACAAAGCTGAATCATTAACCAAACAAACCTCTACATACTGCAAATAGAGCAGCGTCTGCTATCTAAAGATTGTGCAGTATTATCACATACATTAAAAAGGTAAACCGTACATATTGTGAATAAATATATGCGACATATGTGTTGTGCCACAGGGATTTTCTACCAATAATCTTTCTTTTGCTTGATTGTTTTTATCACGTATAAAGTGCAGTACAATATATTATGCAAAAGTGTCATGAAACAATATAGCTAGAGCACGCAGGCTTATACTGTCAGTGTCACAGTAAGAAATGAATGCAGTTCCCCAAGTCTTTAAACATTTTATTTTGAGAAGCACAAACTTGGCAAGCAAACAAGTTAAAGGAGAAGCGAGTGAATAGTTAACGGCAGGGTGATGCAAGTTATTGGGTTAGGGAAAGCCAGAAAGGGGATTTACCTACATCTTAAGTTTAGTATTATTGGTAGATCATTTTAGGATGTCTCGTTGTAGCATGCAGTGTATCTAAATGACTGGCCACCATGAATGTATAGTAAAAAGTTCACCATATATTTTAAAGGACGTGCTGTGTGGTCTACTGATCAAATGAAGATTGGAATCATGTCGGATGTGATAATGAGGAAGTTGCGGGTGCTGCTGCCATTCACAGTAGCACTGGTCTCAGCTGAATCTGTCTGCTCTTCCTTAAGGTGCCCATACACTGTGCGATTATCGCACGATAATCGCGGGAAATCCCGCGATCGTACGATAATCGCAAAGTGTATGGAAGGCGTGCGACCATTTTTACTGTACGGTCGCACGTCTTTTGTCTAAGGAGCATGCTAGAAAACCAGCCGAGAATCGTACGATTTTCGGCTGGTTTTTAGCATGATTGTAAGATCAATGCCGCACGCGCACACTGCCCGTTCAGCATTGCGGTCATCGGAAGCACGCCCCCCGATGATTGCAAGTACGATCTGCCTGTCCAAGATGGGCAGATCATACGTTTTTTTAATTACTTTACAACCATCGCAAGACTAAAGGTGGCCATACACTTTACAACCATCGCAAGACCTTAGTCTTGCGATGGTTGTAAAGTACTTAAAAAAACGTACGATCTGCCCATCTTGGACAGGCAGATCGTACTTGCGATCATCGGGGGGCGGGCTTCCGATGACCGCAATGCTGAACGGGCAGTGTGCGCGTGCGGCATTGATCTTACAATCATGCTAAAAACCAGCCGAAAATCGTACGACCCTTGAGGGGCGGGCTTGCAATGACTGCAATGAGGGGCGGGCTTGCAAGCACGGCAAACGGGCAGTGTGCGTGTGCGCACACCGGCCCGTTCGTCAGTTGTCGAACAAGCAGGCCACTCACTCGCCGAGAATCGTACGATTCCCGGCGGGGTTTCCAGCCTGCTTGTTCGATGGAAGACGTGCGACCGTACAGTAGAAACGGTCGCACGCCTTCCATACACTGTACGATTCTAGTACGATCGCGGGATTTCCCGCGATTCTCGTACGAGAATCGTACAGTGTATGGGCACCTTAAGGTCTTGCGATGGTTGTAAAGTGTATGGCCAGCTTTAACCTTAAATGGCCAGCTTGAACACATGCACCTTTTTCTATTGGCTAAAGTAGGGTATACAAAGGAGGAATTTTGAACAAACTAAAAACATTTTGGAATGTTCGTTCAACTTTCTAATCGCTGATGCTGGGAAATTGATGATTAATTTCGACCCCAGTGAAAAAAATTTTGATTGACAATTGCCAAGTCTCTGGAGGCATTATCGAACTCTCAGATGTCATTTTCATACAAATGTTCAAGCGAAAAACTACCTGTGTATACCCTATTTTAAAGTTGACAACGGATTATATGTATAGGGTGTTGGGTCACTATTTTGTATACTGCAGGTGTAAAATGTAGCACCTTTGTGATGGAGATTTTATGCATACAATGACAACTGTTCATATGGAATAAAAAAAGCAACTTGTCATTGTGATTGAAGAACTCTGTGTGGATTCTACAGTAATGCTGCATACATTACACATCCATACAAGCAATCTCCTAATACAAGAATTTGCCTTAAGAACAGATCGGTCAACGCATTTGGTGTGGCCATCTGTGGCTGATCAGCCTTGACAGGAACTAATTTACTCAAATGAACAGCACATCTTATAAATATTCTGTGTATGAGCTTCATTACGGTGAACTGGCAGTGCTATATATAAAAATGACTGATCCAGGAAGCTGGAGCAGCTGGAATCAGTATGTTGTGTGTCATATGCTAGTGTTGTTTTACTTCTAGTCTGGCCATTATGCACCTCACATGAGAACACACATAGGGTACATTCCCCTGGTTAAGTGACCTTCAGCAGGTTTAAGCTAATCACAATAAATCAGTTCTATGCTTTTCCTAAACCTATGCACTTCACAAATTGGAATTAAAGCAAAACAAAAACTTTACATACAGTATATTACTTGTGTTCCCACATGTGTACTGCCCTTTCTAGCTTTGGCATCTACTGGATACCAATATCTTGCATCATTGCCAGAACACCCATTTGAAATTTCAACAAAATATGTCCCTGCCGGTCACCAGATAAGACAATGAACCTGTTGACAACCAACTTTATTCCAAAGCCAGTAACACATAATCTGCATATATAATTTGCCAAGCCGCAGCATAAAAGCCTGAGAGACATAAACAAGAGAAAAGCAGAAAGAAAATCGATTGACCTAGGCAGCGGAAGATTCCTTTTATTGTAGCCAGTCTATCAGGAGCAGCAAAACGTTCATTCTTTCGGGTCTCTTTCCTTTTGCGCATGTGCTGGGTTCTTGGGGAGATTTTGGACGAACGAAAACCCCACTCATTCATCGAATTTAGTTTGGTCAGAGAAAAATTTTCCAACCTGACGAAAAACGAAAAATCGGTGCTGTACCATCAACTGTTTGATTTTCGTTTGAAAGATCGTTCGTGAACGATCTCCGAACGAAAATCTAACAAAGTATGGCCACCTTTAGGCCCTTTTCACACGAGCGGTCCGATCAGATGTGCCTCTCAGGCAGACCTAATCAGAAGCTCAATGTTAGTCTACGGGCAGGCAAATATAAATGGATGTGTGTCCATTACATAAAATTTCCTCGACAAGTCCGTCTAGGTCCAAAAAGAAAAGAAGAAAAAAAATGGAAAAGAATTATGTGTTTTCAAACCTAAGTGTGACATATCGGAGGTAAAAGGATGTAAATGGATGCACATCCGTTTATATCCGCCCGCCTATAGACCTATCATGAGTTTGTTAAGCTCCGTTTTTTCCTCCATAGCGCCCTCTTTAATGGAGGAAAATACTAAATGGACAAGGATGTCACAAAAGTAACATCTGTTCCGTTCTGCTTTGATTCAGCAGGGGACTCTGTTCATGGAACCATGGACCCCCTGCTGATCAGAACAGACGTCTCACGTGTGAAAGGGGCCTTACTTGTGTGATGCTGCTGCTTAATACAACACTTTAGATGGGTTTGCCATTTCTGTTCTTCACTTACTAAATAAGGGACCTCTGCCAGCTTTATAATAAAACATACTGACAAGTACTGCCTTTTTTTCAAATGAGTGAGATGAATCATGATCAGAGTTAAGTAGGGCTGCAACAAACAACTAAAATCGATAAAATCAAAATCTTAACAATCCTCATCCTATCGATTAGTTGATTTTGTGATTAGTTGATTGTTCCCCTGCTGCACCTCTGTTTCTCCCCTCCCCCCCCCATGCTTCTCTTTCCTCCCCTCCCCCTCGCCTCC